TCATGTGCTTCTCTCTCTCCCCCCCTCTCTCCCTAGCTTCATGCCACACTCAGGAGAAAGCAAGAGGAAATATCTGCCCTAAAGGAGACCAATGCTCACCTGAAAAACCTGACTAAACAGACTGAATATTACGCCACAATACTAGATGTAAAGTATTGTTTAATTGTAAATAATTACGTGATGGAAAATAAGAAGACAAGACAGATACGAGTTCTTGTAATTGATGTATACGAAATGGTTCTCCATCCATGAATGGCAATTTTAAAACAACCAATCAGAAAAAATGCTTTCAATTCACAATTTTGTAAACAACATAAAATCTGAATTAATGTTGCTTACCTTTTTTACTGCACATTTCAGGAATTATTCTGAACCAGTTTTAGTTTATTATGTATAAAATTCTGAGCAAGAGTCAGGACGGTAAACCCTAAAGACTTAATGAAATGGGGTGTAAATAAATGAGTAAATTATAAGGAACAGGTGGACATAACAGGTTACCATGGTAACAAATAGTTAACTTATATTTCTATATTTATTTTAAATGTTTAATTGAAAATGCTTTTTTTCTGCAACATTAATGAAAATAAAAATCAATCAAATGCATAAGAAAAAATATATTAATATATTATTGTTCAGTAAAAACATTTCAATTTAAATTAATTAGGGTTTTTTATTAAACTCTGCATACGTAGTACCATGTCTGTGACATAATTTACTTCCGCATTCTTTAAATTTTGAAGGGCCCAATACCCTCATAAGTGGTTCCGTTCTTTTATCAGTTGGTATAGAATAACTTTTGAATAGATTATTGGGTCATTTTTCTTTATGATAACTTACATGTGCAGGAACCGCCAAAATTAATTACAGCAACCTAGACTACACAGAACCTAAAAGGTACACTTTCAAATTTGAGTTTACAAAAAAAAGCACCTCTTTTTTTGGAGAGGTTTACTATAAACAGACATCATATACAATTATTTTAATAACTTTACCAATAGAAGATGAAAACATGACCTCTCTGGACAGAAATTTAAAACATCGAGCAATCACTCATTTTGTAAACATCTAATCATATTTTCGCATCACCATACGGCAGAATTTCAATAGCACAAACTCTAGTGAGACCGCGGCTTTTCTAGATATACTTGAACCTTCCATACACGTGCTGTTGGAGCTAAACTCTGCAGGACTCCAACCCCTGTAATTGAAAAATGTCTCAAAAGATTTTTATATTACTAATTTTATAATATATATATATATATATATATATATATATATATATATATATATATATATATATATATATATATATATAGGTCTCAAAATAGTAGGAAACCCTTTGAAAGAAGTGTAGTGACTAAAACAATTAAAAACCAAGATTTGCTTTGAATTCACTCCGTTTTACTTGACTAAAATTGGGCCAAACTAAACACTTGCTTTGCCATAATTTAAGTAACTTTCAGTGTTCTCAGCCCCTTGTTTAGTAACCACTGTATTACACACACACATTAATGAAACTTCAGCAGCCAGAGGGCAGCAAGAGCTTTACACTGTCAGTGTCACACCCACAAATGACCGTTTGTCAATTTCACTTCCTGTGTTCTAGGCCCTGACAACATCGTTCCAGACAGACTCGCTGTCACAGTGCACTAATGAGTGGCTGAATGAAGATCATTCTCCAGAGCACTCCTGGATCTCTCTGCTGACTCAAGAGCAGCCATCAGATCCATCTTCCACAGCTTTAACTAACTCCAGCGCTGACACACAGAGCCCAGCATCAGAGGTCAAGCAGCATCTGTGGTCCAGCTGGATTGACCTTCTGTGTGGAGATGCTGAGGACTGTCCTACAGGCTCTAAGCGAATCAGGTTTGATAATGAACTTGAACAGCTTGATTTGAAGGCCCAGGATCAAATGGTTCCTGAGGATGTAACTAAAGAGTCAACCTTGGCTCAGGATCATCACCTTACGATGTCCTCTGAAAGGCAGAGGGTGAACATATTTGGGGCTTTTAATGGGTTTCAGGTTTTTACTGAAACCTCAACAGTCAAGTCTGATATAAACATCAGCAGCGATGGTGGGAAAGGTTTGTGTTTTAAGACCTCAATCAGAGACCATAGTACAGTAAAGACCAAGGTTTTCCCACATGGCAAGGCATTCACCTCTCACACACTAAGTGGATCCTGTCGGTTCCTTTGGGTTCCTAATGAGAGCTGAACCTAGGTGACTCGAATTGTTGAGTGAGTTGAAAAACTAACAGCATTTCATGTAGAGCCAAGGTGTTTTGTCCAGCTAAGACCAACCAAAGTACTTCATGTCCTGTAATCATGACACATCATTATGTGTACATAAACATGAGTCACATGACCTTCTCTGTGAAGATGCTAAAGCTCAGGCTTGATAATAACGTTGTACAACTAGATGTGAAATATCTGAAGAGCCAGGCTTTTATTTGACCTAAGATTGTTTCAGTACAATCTTTAAAAGTTATCTCACAGGCTCTTCCATGGAGCATCCATAGAACCATTTCACTCATTTAAATGGAAAAAGGTACTTCAGATTAGATTCAGAGTAGGACAAAAAATAGAACCCCCGACAGGTTTTGTGAAAACGCATACAAATGCCTTAAACTCGGAGGTGTTGGATGAAAAATACAGACTGTGGAATGAGTTTTTAACAGAAATATTCTGTAGGTTAAATTTATGAATGTAAAATTGTAAAAACCAACCCGGGCTCATTGTGGAATGTAGCCCCGCGGACGTTTCTGCGGACCGCGATTTACATCCCTGGAGGTACGTATTTGAGCGTTTTTTGTTTTCGCGGATCCGCGAGAGGCCGCTGTGCGCGCTTTTTTGCGTCTCGGGCGCCTCTCGGGAGCGCTTGCCGTTCGCGCCCGTGCTGTTCTTGCTTGAAAAGCCGCCGGATCGGCCGACTCGGCCGCCCTCACCTTCCTCCTCCTCCTCCTTCCCTAAACCCGAGCGGGGCTACGTTTCCAGAATTAGCTTGGGTTGGTAAAAACAGTAGATTACTGGCAACCACAGCTGCCAGTATTTTTCCGTAAAAAAGAAAAGAAAAAAAATAGCAAAATGTTTTTTTTTTGTGTCACCATTATGGAGGATAGTAGCGTCTGTGTTCAAGACAAAGATGAACTGAGCATATCTTATGTTGGGATGCATCTTCTGTTGTTTAAATGTAACTGTGTAGTTACTAATCCAGTGAAAATCTGTTTGTTAATTGCAATCACACATGAACACATTATTGCATTTAATGACGTTACATTTTTATGCAATAAGCTACAATTTAGTGAATTGAGCATTGTATCAGTTCATGAAATACGTTTTTTTTGTACATTTTAACAGTTCTATTAAACTTCTGTTTTTTATGGAAAGATTCTGGCAGCCACAGCTGCTGGTATTTTTCATTAATTTAAAAGATATTTTACACGATAAGAGTTTGCTAATTAACACTCTTTCAGTGTTGATAATGTTAACTCTTTCAAAAGTGTTATTTTAACACCTTTATAGTGGTTCCTATATAAACTCTTAGGGAGTGTTAATTTTAACTCTAAGGTAGTTAAATCTACTATCTAAAATTTGCAGTGTAGGTGCTTGTTCACACGAGTGACAGTCTCACAGTGTGAAATATCAAAGATGCCATCAGAGGGAATTGTCAATGAGACACTGACTGAAATATTAGACAAGCTAATGACCTGGGGATTCAAAACCTGCTTTGAGAAATGTGTTTTGTCTGAAAACACATCGATGATGACCTACAGCCAATGAGAGAGCAAGATAAAGGACAACAGGGACTTTGGCAAGAAGTTATAGAACACAAATTCTGGAACATGGATTTAGTTCCAAGAACAACAACAACTGTCTTTTTGTGCCATGAAATTTGTGAAATGGAGGACAGTTTGGAAAAGAATTAGCTGGAGCACCTATGTTTTTTTGATGTTTCATCTTCGCCTATCACAATGGGGTACCAATTTCAATATAATTTGAGAAGTCTGATTTCACCTGTGATCTTACACTATTTCCTTATCAGTTACGTTTGGTTGTAACACATGGCATACTGACTTTATGAACTCTGACCTACAAATTTGCATCGTGTGAATGCGAGGGCGAAATAGAAGATCAAAACTATACCTCTTGTGTAAAAAATGGAGCAACCGTTTGTTTCATCAGTGAGACAGTATCTTTCTGTGTCAAAGACAGTTTTAATAAATCTGTTTTTAAAGTTTTATATTAATGGTTGAGGTAATTTGTAGCATACCTGCTTGAAAACAAAGATCCCAAATCAAGGGTTTTTGCATGCATGCCATAGAAGAGTCAATCTTTGCATTCACCAAAGAACCTTTCTGTCAACATTTCTTAAAAGAACCATTTTCCTGGGGTTAAGGAGATTTTAACAACCTAAAGAAGCTTTCTACAATATAAAGGAATTCTAAAGGTTATATGAATGTTAAAGGGTCTTAATGGAAGAGTAGTGCCAATAAATAAACTTGACTTAAATACAAATGATAAAGACTGCACTCTAAGATCAAATCCATGAGTATATATTAGAAATATGCCCTGAAACAGTGAATCCGGGTCTTCAGACTCACATGACTAGTAGGCATCAGTGTTGGGCCTGGTTAGAGCTGAACTCTCCATTCCAAGAATAATGTTTCGGTCAGAGTATACAGTTTGTTCTCACCTCACATTCATAGTTTTGTTTAGAATATACATCTCATCCATTCAGATGGTCACAAGTGCAGACATTTAAAACTTTTCAAATATTTAAAAGCATTTACAGCTCACATCAGATCTGAATCTATCTCTGTATTAACCTATAAATGATGGACTTCTGGTCTGTCACTTGTTGCTTTAAAATTTTTGTGTAAATATTTAATATAGAATTTTTTTTTTTTGTTTGAATTTAGCCGAGAAACTTACTTAGTTCACTTAGCAACTTAGAAATAGATTTCTTTTCACACCTGAAACAGACACTCCATATGAGTATAATAAAGCTGACAGTTTATCACAGGTCAATGAGATGAAATAATATATACATTTATTGAAGCAATGTTTCCAGTGGTACTCTGTTCTGACAGTATCTAGAATTTTACATTACAAATAAATTATTTTTGTAGCCTTTAAAGTTTTTTTTTTCAAGTGAAATGTTTCATTTACACAACACTAGCTCCACCAAACTGAAATTAATGTTAGTTCTCATCATCTGCTTTTTATTGGTTGGCCAAAATGGTAGTCTTACTCCCAAACTCACACTATTGGCCAAGCCCAATCAAGCAGCTCAAAAAAACACTGCAATTCCATTCGATGCCACTAGTGCTTTAAAATCATTAACTTCACCTTTAACTATTTCTTAAAGGGCACCTATTTGAACCATTTTCAAGATTTAATATAAATCTTTTGTGTCTCCAGAACGTGTGTGTAACGTTTCAGCTCAAATTACCCATCAGATTATTTATTATACCTTTTTAAATCTGGGAAATGTCAGCTGTTTTAACATTATAGCTGTTTTTGTTGCCTGTGCATTTAATGCAAATGAGCTGGTTTTCTCCGCCCACCGTTCTCACGCGCGTGTCAGACCTGTAGCTTTCACCTAGACAAACAGCACAGTGAGAGACCAGAATGAAGCTAATCATTCTTACGATTTCCTAACGGTTGTTTGTTATATTTGTTGTGGAGTTAATTCAAGCCTTTCTGCAATGATGAGTCACACACAATGTTGTTATAAAGATTGCTCGTGCGCACACACACACAAGTTTAGCTTTGCTGTGCTGTTTTTGCACAGCAAATGTGACAGGATACACGTTAATATCCACTGCTGTATAGATATCCGTTATGTTAATGTACAAAATAAATCTGATTTAAGTCCACGATCCTAAATTGAAGCGTCTTCTTTTATGATTGTACTGTTATGCGGCTGTGGTGATGAATAACGTATTGATTTTAATGGCTTTATTGCAAATATGCACTGTTTAAATTTTTTTTTAAAACTTGTAAAACTCATTAATGATCACATTTGATGATGACTGATGATCGCAGCAAGCTGAACAGATCTTTTAACCCCAGTTGCTTTGCGCACGTCCTGTCTTTTTGATATGATTATATGCGTTACTATAGAGACATGATAATATCGAGCTGTCAATCAATTCAGTGGGTGGGGAAACCATGTTACGTTGTGGGGGACCTCAAAATGGGAGGGATTTGGATCCTATTTTAAGATCAGGAAATTTAAGAAAGAGACTTGTTGTGTTTAGATCACTCCAGTATAACTGTGTACACACTATACATACACACAGTTCTGTCCAAACAACTTACTAAAGATGATTTTTAGGTGCCCTTTAATTTATATATAGGTCAATCTTTTTTACAGTCATTAAAATACAAAGGTTTACACAATGTTGTTTTGATGATGTGATCGATGTAGTGACAACTTCTACGCAACAGTTTGCTAAGGGTGGATTTCGATTTAGCAAGTTAAAAATGTTTTTGTGGAAAAGGTCACCTTATTTTTACCAGGCTACGATATATTCTCACCCCATGATTTTAGGAAGCTGGCAGCAGCATTAGAAGATAACCAATGTGCTTGATGAAAAACCTCACAGATGCCTGATGTGATCCTACTGAGCAGCAGAAAGGCTCTAGAAGACTGCAAAAGACAAACAAAAAGAATAACTGAAGCACCATTTCCTCAATGGACCATTCAAAAGATTCATAAACAGCATTAGAAGCTGTATAATTCTTGGTCCAGCATTAATAAAACTATTTGTAAACCAATTGTCAAGAGTAAATTCCAGCGAGAATTCTTACAGAGTCACGTTCGGGTTAGTATCGTAGTATGCTGTACCCTGGCTCTGCTACAGTCGAGTATAGAGGATCGTCTGAAGATAGAAGATGAAGTGAAGAGTTGGGAATTGAGTAAACATCCAGAAAAGAATGTTTAAATATAGTGCACATGTAAGATTTGCATACTTCCTGCAGCTGGCGGTGGAGGTGCTGCTGCTCTCCTGGAAGAAATACAGAAAAGAGGCAAGATAGTATTAAAGGTGATGATTATATTCAGTAAGAATAATATGACTGATTGTGGAAAGTCTACATCTGTAGGGACTGAGGGTTCACCTGGGCGGTGGAAGTGAGCGAACGACACCAGATCTCTGATTGTTGTAGAAGTTCTCATATGGAATGGGTGCTGAGGACAGGTAAGTTTAATAAGCATTACATGCTGGAAATAATATTCAGCTTCTTGCAGACCAGTCGTTCACTTCCTAAGACCTTAGTGTATCACCAAGAGACTTGGGATTTTCATTTTATTTTGCTTGCATGTTTTTTTTTTAACTTGCATTTTTTTAATCAACACATTTTAAGCAACATAAAGGGATAGTTTACCTAAAAAATAAAAATTACCTTAATTACTAGCCCTAACAACACAAAACATAGGGGGGGGATTACTATGGAAGTCAGTGAGTAGCAGCATTTCATTCAGAACATCTTCTCTTGTGTTCAACATTAGAAAGAAACTTTTTTTAGATTTTAAAGTGAAGGCCGAGTAAACGATAACAGAATTTTTATTTTTGAGTGAACTATCCCTTTAATGCCCTGGTGACCTTGATGAGGGTGAATAAAAGAACAGAGAATAAAGTGTTTTTGGGTAAATAAAATATTGAAGTCATAATTGAAGTCATAATTCACTCATAAAAATGTCCACAACTGCTAAAACACCATGAGTATGTGAGCATATTTTAACTTAAATTCTAGTAAATTTAAATATGCACACATTGTAGAGTAAACTAATTGTACATTAGCCTTAGGTGAATGATGAGTTGATGAGAAATCTACTGGTGAAGAAAGAAAAAAACACTCAATTTATGCATCAATTTATAAATTACATTTCTAATTAAATTAGAACTAACAAATGTGATAACAATAGTGTGTTATTAATTATAGCATCTATTTATTAATTAGTTATATATTAATTATGATGACAGGAAAGTGAACACTCAACGGCTGATGATAACTATATCTTAGATTCACTCTTAAAATATTTTCAAGAGTTCACACTTAGCTGATGATTAATTATAAAAGCTTGTTTGGCATGCTGTCCCAGGAGAGAGCCCTGAGCTCATGAGATCCTCGAGCCCAGGGCTCCCTCCTGTTGCAAGGCGGGAGGGGAGTTTGAGCTTAGGTAGATCTCGAGAACTCCCCTGCTGTAGCAAGTGAATGCTCTTGAAATTAATTACTAACTAGAAGCGTGTCTATGTTGACAATTTGGATTGTTCAATTGACTTAATTGCATGTTTTTAGGCGGTGGGAGAAAACCTGGGAACCCAGGGGAAACCCACGTGAGCACGGGGAGAAGTGCAAACTCCACACAGAAATGTCTACTAGTTTTGGTAAAGCCAGGAACCAGAGACATTCTTGCTGTGAGGCGACAGTGCTAGGCACTGGGCCACCGTGTCACCGGTCTAAGAAGGAGGAGTAGGGGAGGAAGGGGGGGACTCTTCAAAACGAAGATAGCAATGGAATAAACCCCAGGGTTTTTATAGTAGTTTAGGAGTCATCTGATTGGATCGTAGTGAATTAGATAATAAGGGTCAGCTGCTAGCAATCATAAGCATGTGATCCTCTCGAAATTTGTTTATACATAAACTTCACATAATACAGCTAATGAATAAAAGAGACAATCAGCCAATCACAATCCATCTAAAAAACAAACAAACATATTTATATATAATTAAATGATTAAATTATAATTAATTAGACTGTTGAAGTCACTGTTATTTAGTGCTGAAGAAACAAAATCCAAGTACCTCTGGAAGTCTAAAAAAATCTTGTGTTTTAATGGACAAATGAATGTCTTCTCATTTAATGTCCCGCATGATGGTTCTTAAGTTATTTTAAATAATTAAACTATAAATAGATAATGCTTTGTGTGGTCATGACTGTAAATACTTAAACGATACTGGAGTATTAAGGTTGAAAGAATGTTTTAAGAATGTTCTGCAAAAAAGCATACATTGATAGACTGTTCTGGGTCCCAAATTATGTAAGCCGAGTCGTGCATTCCAACTGAAATGATTGAGTTCCCTCAGCAATTACATAACAACGATACATGTGACATGTTTTCTGAGAGTTACCTGGTGGTTTGTCTCCGGTCCTCCTGAGGTTGACAAAATGCTCAATGTCTTCTTGAATGTTACACTGCTCCAGAGACTTCCTCACTTCCTCATAGATCTGCAAAACACAAACAAATAACTTAAGAACAGGCGTTATACTATACATCAGGGGTGCTCAATCCTGTTCCTGGAGCTCTACCTTCCTGTACAGTTTAGCTCCAACCCTGATCAAACCCACCTGAACCAATTAATTAGGACCTGAAATCCACTTGATAATTACAGACAGGTGTGTTTGATAAGGGTTGCAACTGAAATCTGCAGGAAGGTAGATCTCCAGGAACAGGATTGGCCACCTTTGCTATACATCAATCTGCTTTATCAGAAAAGTACAAACTTGAGTAATATTCAAAAGTATCATCTTAAAGGTTTAATTACTCAACAAATTAATATATTTTAGACGAAATCAGAAAGCTCTCTCATCCTCCAAAGGCAGCAATGTTCCAGAAATGGAACCAAAAACAGTCCGTGTGACTTCAGTGGTTCTACTGTAATCATATGAAGCTCCAAGAACCCTTTTGCGCACCAAAAAAAAAATTTTTTTACTCTCCAATGTCTTCTACATCAGGGTGCATGTTTACTATGGGCAATACATATTGCCAATTGCAGGCAGCTACACGCAATCATCATGTTGTCTTTAGTAAATGCACACCCTGATCTGATGCTGAAATAATAAAGGCAAACAAAGCCATTTTTTGCCACACAAAAGTGTTCTTGGATCTTTATATGGGCACAATTAAACCACTGAAGTCACATTAAGGGCCCTATCATACACCCGGCGCAGTGTGGCGCAAGGCATGACGCAGTAGTTTTTTGGTAGTTTAAGCTTGGCGCAAGAGTCGTTTTGAGGCATTGCGCTACACTGTTTAAATAGCAAATGCATTAGCGCTCATTTGTGCGCTCATAGGCGTTCTGGTCTAAAAAGGAAGGCGTTCTGAGGCGGACCGCTGGTGCGTTGCTATTTTGAGAATCTATAATAGATTTTTCATTAGACCAAAACTAACCCGGTCTAAACTCCGGCGCAGAGTTGCGCCTCGCTTACGCACTGCTTAATACACACAAGAGAGCAATAGGCAAATATCTTTACATATGAAAAAATGTAAATATTAAGGATATATATAGGATATAATAAGAATAGATATAGAATATAAATATAAAGGATTAAAATATTACAAAACATATTATTTTCTAGCCTACATAAATATGAAAAACCACTGCTTTTATGTCTTCTTCATCTCGGGAGGCTTTTTCAGTTCATTCATAACAATTTGCTTTTGTATAATGTTATTATTATTAGCAGTATTATTTATTATATCCATATTTATATTTGTTTTATTAAAAACAAGCTTAGATTTGCCCACCTGTCAGGTTTTAGACCATATGGGGCATGGCAGGTGTATTTGGAAATAACTCAGTATTTTGACCACACTTGGTCATTATTGTTCATATATTCGTTTGCTGAAAATTAGAACAGCAAGAAAGGGACTAAGCCGAAGGAAAATGAATGAATGAATGAATATTTTTGGTTCTTTTTCTGGACTTTGTTCATCTCAGGACTGTTGCTGTCTATGGAGGATGAGAGAGCTTTCTAGATTTTATCTTAAATATCTTAATTTGCTTCCGAAGATGAAAGAATGTCTCAGGGGATTGAACAACATTTAATTTAACAGAATTTGAACTAACACTTTAATGTATATCCATAATTTAAGACAGTCATAAAGTGATTTATCTTTTACATTCATTCATTTTCTTTTCGGCTTAGTCCCTTTATTAATCTGGGGTCACCACAGCGGAATGAACCGCCAACTTATGCAGCACATGTTTTACGCAGCGGATGCCCTTCCAGCTGCAATCCATCTCTGGAAAACATCCATACACACTCATTCACACTCATACACTGCGAACAATTTAGCCTACCCAATTCACCTGTACCGCATGTCTTTGGACTCTGGGGGAAACCAGAACACCCGGAGGAAACCCACGAGAACATGCAAACTCCACACAGAAATGCCAACTGACCCAGCAGAGGTTTAAACCAGCAACCTTCTTGCTGTAAGGCGACAGCACTGCCTACTGTGCCACCGCGTCGCCCAATTTATCTTTTATAAATAGTTAAAAGTATTGTTGTCTGAGTTGCAGCACACTCAAGAGAACATTGTGAACACTGTGATTTACTCAAAGATTAGCTTACGGTTATCATGAAAGGCTATTTTGAGTTGAGACTTGTGTTACGTTCTCTTTAGTGCCTGTCTCTGTGCTTGTGTTTGTGTCATGACGTCACTCACTTTGTTTCCTATAGAGTCCGCCTTTGCGCACCTGCGGCGAGTTGCGCTTATTGAAATTGGCTATAAATACGGACCATCCTTGAGCGGAGACAGAGGAGACTTCTTCTTTTCGTTTCTTTAATTTACTGTTTTGTTTTCTTTAAGTCTTACTTTGCTCTAATTTGTTAATTGTTGGGTTGTTTAGTCTTTGGTTAGTGTTGTATGTTGTTGGAGAACGTGAGTTATTGATTCTTTATTCATTCTTATTTAGTTGTGACACATGATTTGTTGGATTGTTTTGGTTGTAATAAATTTAATAATTTAGACGACTTAGTTCATGTGTACTCTTTATGTTGCGTTCCCTTCATGACTTAACTATTTTGATTTGATTAAAAAAGGGTTCGTAACACTTGAAACTAGAAATAGTATTTCACACACAGCATTAAAAACGCACAGCTCAGTTTACCTCATCACTGGAGACACACTGCTGGGAGAGATGATTGAGATGAGTCCACACTATATTCCTCAAAGTGTTAATCCTCTCCACTTCCTGTTTCTCGAAAAACTGCCACAACATGCACAAGATGCCAAAGCAGAAAGATCATAATGTCATAAAACAACCGTTCACTCGCGTCAGTCAATAATCACCCACATAAAAAACCATACTTATTAAGCCATGTTTAAATTCAGGCATTTTGGTGTATTTTTTTGTTTAATCCAAGACACTGCAGACCAAAAAAGTCCTTCACCTTTCAATTTTGAGAGGGTTTTCTATCTAATGTGAAGTAAACATTCAAAATACACTTTAAAGTGTTCCTTTTGTTATATATTTGTCAAGTTTTCTCAAAAATAGATTTTTTTTTTTCCTGGACTGAGCCTTAAATTCAATTTCTACCAGACCAGGTTTACTCAAAAGATTATTTTTGCTGCTTGTTCAAACTACTCATTTAAAATGAGCTGAATCAACACAATTCTAGATTTTTTGGGGGGGACAACCTAATTGTTTTATGTTTAATCCACTAGAGTTTTACATCAATTTGTGTTAGAACAACATGAAGGA